TATACAAGTGGTCATGGCATGTTGCCTTATGTAATAATTGCCTTATGTAAATAAAAAGGCTATTAAGTTTTCCAATAATATTTATTAATCTGTATGTGTTTTCAAATAAAATAACTTAGTTCAAGCTGAACACACGTTGCTTCTCCCCCCCCCCCCCTTACTTGAAACATTTTTATAGTTTCAGGTTCCATATCATCCTAATTCTGCAGTTAAATTTTTCCAGTTTTCTGTGTAGAAATGAATATCCAAGGTTTCCATAATGATACAGAAAATGTCTATCTGTATATATCTTAGGAGGCAAAGATATATGTCATATATCCATGTTGTCTGAAGGAATTCACCATCATATGACTACCTACTGAAACAATGAAATGATTGTTTTAACTTGTTGATTACTTTAATATGTTACTACCTTTTACATGTTTTTAACTTGCATGACATATAGTGTTTTATAGTTTAAGCATATAGAACGTTAGAGAATCATAACACATTTTAATGCTCCAAGTGTCATCAGAAATCTTGTCTTCTTTAGTGTTCTGTAAGTCCTTTTATTAACTGAGAACAGTATTTTATTTGAGCAAAAATATTTTTCCTAGGTTGTATCCAAAAAGACTTAATTACTTAAATTTTGATTAAAGTATACCTACACAGAAATCAGAAACAAATATTTTAAGAAACCACCAAATGTTTCTGTGGATAACCCTTTCCACACAGGCTGTAAAATGCATGACTGCCAAATTCTATAGTTGTTTAACAAACGCTGCCCTGGTTGGTTACCACTATAGAACTGTTAGTTTTAGCTGCTAGTAAAGCACAGTGGTTGCTGAATGTTAGCTGTATACCTATGTATCCTGCCCTTCAGGGAGCTTATGTTCTTGTTCCTCTGTTGAGTGATCACATCCCTGTCTGATAAAATTAATGTCGGTATATTTGTTGTAATATTAATCACACTTAATTGTATATTTTGAACCTCACGTGGTAGTCTCAAAAGTTTTTTGAGTTACAGAGGTGAGACAAAGTCAAGACACAAATAGAAAGAAAATATTTAGGTACTTTGATCTGTATTATCATTTCAGAGAAGAGAGGGATTAATTCCAGCCGAGGAAATTTAAAGGAGATGGGACTGGAACTGGACCTTGGCAAACAGGATAGGAGAGATGCCAATCCAGAAGCAGATACAGTAAGTCAGTATAAAGCAGGTGATGGACTGAAGGATGGAGGAAAGGTCAAACTAGGTTGCCTGTCTATAAGACTGAATCCTTTTATTTTGGGTGAAGATGTTTGAGGGATCTCAGTATCTTCTCCTTCTCCTTAATTTGGCATACTTACTCACTTTATTAGTGTTCTATGTCTGCTATGACAAATTATCACAAACTTGGTGGCGTAAAACGACAGTCATTCTCTTACAGTCTGAAGGGCAGAAGTCCAGCATAGGTCTCACTGAGCTAAAATCAAGAGTTGACTGGATCACATTCCTTCTGGAGGTACTAGGGGAGAATCTGCTCCCTGCCTTTTTCAATGTCTTGAGGCTTCCCTCATTCCTTGGCTCGTGGCTCCTTTGCTTTATCTTCAAAACTGGCGATATTTCATCTGTCTGGCCAGTCGTCCATTGTCAGATCTCATTCTCTGACTCTGACGTGCCTGCCCCCTCATATAAGGACCCTTGTGATTATTTTGGGCCCACCTGGATAGTCCAGGATAATCTCATTTCCACATCCTTAATCTGATCGCAAAGTCCCTTTTGCCATGTAAGGTAATACAGTTGCAGGACGTGGACATCTTTGGGGAGCCATTATTCTCCTACTACATTCACTAACCATTAAGTGAAGCTATTTAATGAATATCCTTGTGTTCTACATAAATTAACTTTATTCCTCCTCAGAGCTTCCCCCTCCCCTGCCAACAAGTGTTTTGGAAAACATTTGTAGGTCATTTTTGACCTTGAATAAACTAAATATTAACTGAAAAACATATAATATTAACATTTTTACATGCCACTATTCACACTGGAAGGACAAAGGGCCAATTTAACTGGTAGTAGGGGTTGAGCTAAAGAAAAAATGATCATCTGTTATGCTGTTCTCATGCTTCTGGCTGGCATCTCTGGTAACAAAACCAAAACTGAGAGTAATTGGGGGAAGAGTTTATATATAAAATTATTTGATTTCCTAATACATGATTTTACAAAACACAGTTTTAATAAGAAGTCTTACCTATGGTTCTGTAACCATGACAAAACCATGATTTTAACAGCTTTATTGAGGTATAATTGGCATACAATACATATATAAAATGTACAGTTTGGCAAGTTTTGACATGTATACATAACCATGATCAAAATAGTGAATGTATCCATCATCCCCAAAGGGTATTTGTGTAACCCCTCCCCCATCCTCAACCCTCACCTCCAGGCAACCATTCATCTGCTTTTTGTCATGATATATTAATTTGCATTTCCTAGAATTTTGGTATAAATGGAATCATATAGTATATACTCTTTTTGGGAGTGGTCTGGTTTCTCTTAGCATAATTATTTTGAGATTCAGCCATTTTATAGTGTGTCAATATTCCTTTCCCTTTTATTGCAGAGTTAGTATTTCATTATATGGATATACCACAATTTGTTTATCCCTTCACCTGTTAATGGACATTGAGTTGTTTCCAGTTTTTGGCTATTACAATAAAGCTGCTGTTGAAGGTTCATTTACAATCTTTTTATGGACATATGTTTTCATTTCTCTTGGGAGAAATGAAATGAAATTCTACCTGGGTGTAGAATAGCTGGATCATATGGTTCATGTATGTTTTTAAGAAACTGGCAAACTGTTTTCCAAGGAAGTTGTACCATTTTACATTTTTACCAGCAGTGTGTGAGAAGGAACTAGATTTCTAAAAAGTGTATAAATACCTCCTGATCAGTGCTTGAGCACTCAAGTGTACAAGACGTGCATCCAGTATCTGAAGTGATTCAATGTTTAAGGAGCCTACATCTTATTAGCAAGGTATAGATATACATGCAGAGATGACATAGTGTGCAATGTGACAGTGTTAGGTGAGAGGACCAGATAATGAATGCAGGAGGAGTCTAGGCTACGACTACGAGAAAAAGCTGATTAGACGTGGCAGTGCTTTAGCTGGGATGATTAGAACACTGGCAGAAAAGAGCTACAAGCAAATTCATTCATTAGCACAGCTTCAGTTTCTAAGTATTCCTGTTCATATGAACAAACCAACCACTGCTTCCTTTATAGTCGTCTGCCTCCTACAGGTATCTGCTGGAATCTTCACCAGTTAGTTATTGCGACATAACAATCCACCCCAAAATGAGTCGCTTAAAATAATCATTTATCCCTTCTCATATGTCTATGGGTCAGTTGGGCAGTTCTGCTGGTATGGACTGGACTTGGCTGATTTCATCTGGGCTCAATCATGGGTCAGCTAGCTGGTCAGCTGGGCAGATTTGCTACTTGGCTAAGCTCTTACACATTTCCGGGGCTGACTGGGGCAATTAGGCTCAGTTGTTCTGCCCTACTTGGTCTCATCCTCCAGCAGGCTCACCCAGGCTTCTTCTCATCTTGGTTTAGGCCGGAAACTGGCATGCTACCACTTATACCAAATTTTATTGGCCAAAGCCAGTCTCAAACCCAGCCCAGATTCAGGGGATGGAGTGAAGCCACAAAGTCACTCCACAAAATGGATGAGTGCATGGAAACGTGGAGAGTCAGAGCAATTTGACATCTATATACTACAGCATCAGAGTCCAATTTGCCCATCTAGCTAAAACTTGACGGAGACTGAACAAGTAAACAAAGGTCCTTTGAGACAGTTCTGGAGTCCCCGGGTGGTACAAATTGTTAATGCCCTTGGCTGCTAACCAAAAGGTTAGATGTTTGAGCCCACCCAGTGGAACCTTGGAAGGAAGGCTTGGTGATCTACTTCTGAAAAATCAGCCATTGAAAACCCTATGGAGCACAGTCCTATTTGGACATGGGGGCGCCATGAGTTGGAATCTATTAGACAGCAACTTTTTCTTCGAGCCAGTTCTAAAATTCATGGCTGCCTGGTTGCCAAGACCACAGCAGATTACAAGTTTTTAAATTAGGAGATCATAATTACCGATACTGAAACCAGAGCAGTCTGGAACCTCCTAGAACAGAGCAGTCTGATTAGAGACTGAAAAAGACAAATTATACTTTGCGTCTTCTGTTTAAACAAGCATATAATTTGTTTTAGGAAGATTTTTATCCAAAATTATTGAAATTTTGTATAATAGTGTTTTTTTACTCAGTCAAAACCTAGAACACCATCCCCAGGGTACCTTTAAACTTTTAACCAAGGCATCACTGATTTGTTAGCAAGCCTCACTCCCAATCTAACTAGTTGCTCTTCCCCACTATTTACGAATTAGCCCTCTGTGCTTTCTGCTAGTTTGAGGAAACCATGCTGGCAGGCAGTTTCTCCATTACTGGATGAATCGGCATGGCCTAAGAGTGGATTACCTGTGTAGCTCATGAAAAATAAACCTCAGTGCTCCAAATGCCGTGAGACTGGCTTTTACCACCACAAACTTGTCCAAAGAATCCGTCTATTCTGAGATTGGAACAGGTAAGAAAGCCCCCAGTAGCGCCTAAGTCAACCCCTCTCTTCCCCTCTCTGGCCTCTTCCGGACCTCGCCACCCCGCCCACTGCCTTATCACCCCTGCCCCTTGCCCTC